ACCATTATACGCACCTATCTTATCGATTGCTTCACAGACCGCGGTCACTTCCTTGACCGTGATCGCGTCCTTAACCTTAATTGTTTGGTATGACACGCACCTTCCTGATCAACCGCATCCCTGACTGCGGTCTCTTCCCTCATCATATCCACGCCCCTGATCGCAAAGCCTTCCTTGATCGCGTCCGTGACATCCTTCGTATTCGCTATCGCTTCTCTGATAGCTATCGCCTACAACGAATAATATTACTTGTCCACATCCTTCACCGTTCCTTATTCTCAGAACGAATGTTTACTTCCATCGACATTAATTCTTAGTTCAACTGACGTAAGGCGACATGTACGGCCGTTTCCACAACTCGTTTGCCCCATCGTACTTTTTTTGAGCGCGATATGCCCTTCTGTGATAAATTTGCTTGATCACTTTACCACCCATTTGTCATCCTACTCTTCTCCGCCGGATTCAGCCCATACCAACTATTTTTGCGAGTGCGACCTTACTAAAGCCTATGCTGTCCTTCCGAGATACTTGCTTTGTTATTTCCGAATCATCATACTTTTCTGGTATGTACAGCAGCATCTTCAAATTTCCTCTTTATTGCCCTTCACGTAGTCATTTAAAATGGTACAATTTTATACAGGTACACCCCATGACACCGCTATTCCCAGGACAGTATTTTTTATCGCGCTGACATTTCCATTACGGCGGCGGTTATTATGCATAAAGATAATCTAAGTAATGACGCGCTAGCCCTACTGCACTCGACGAAACTCGACAAGTTTGAACTCGAGGAGTCGAAATTCGATGAGTCCAACCTCGACGAGTCGGAACTGGACGAGTAGAGAGTGCGAAGACCGTATCCAATGAAAAGGAGTCTACCAGTGTTACGAAGTGAGTAGTCGCCACCCACGTAGTCCCCACTTGAAAGGAATAGGAGATAACCAGTACAGAGCAGTGCTTTATGATTCCAAGACGCGCGTACACTTCACGGTAAGTTCGTTCACGGGATTAATGATGCCTGCCGTCGAATATAAAGAGGCATAGCTTGTGAAGATTTCTACTGGTAGCGCCAAGATGATAAGTTGATTCAGAGTGGGCACTCTCTTTCAGCGAGCGACAAGCAGTTCAAACCGATCGAAATGACCAACCGAGAATTTATAGAGTCAAGTTGATAGGCCTCAGCCGAGAGCACCATACTTTTCATCGTCAGGGGAACAATGAACACGGTGAGCTGTAAGAGTGCGCTAAGCGTCGAATTTCATCCTTTAGTGTGAAGTCACAAAAGGAGAAAGTTTCAGAAGTTGCTGATTTTAGGTAGGCTTCGAGAGGATTTGTTTGCGCGGAATCAGCTAGGCAAAAGCCACAACTGGACTTGAAGGGGCGACCCGCGAAGGCATATCGAAATATTTCAACGCAACAGCCCAACTCTCCGAGTTAACTCGGCGATACTATTTCGTTGGTGCGTTGAAAGAGGAACAATACAATTTTGATTGCCTGCTATATACCACGATCCCTGGTGTAAAGTCAACACCAAAATCCTATTCTATCTCGTATGCAAATAATTATGTAATGAGCCGCTCAATTCACCATTAAATCTGTGTAGGTATTCACCACCTATTAACTGTACAGACTTGTTTTAGCGGCTGGTCGTTTAGTTTTGTTTTACAAATTGTTTAATTTAGTGCGTTAGTTTCTTCGAGCAGTGGCTTACTTCAATATTACGACACTGTTCTGAGCACACATTAGCTTGTATCTTCGAAACTTGATCCTAGGCTTGAGGCACGGTAAACACATCTATATTCATAGACATTACTACCTGATTATAATGATTAGGGGTTACGCATGTAATAAAAGGATCACGCGTACACTTCTTGTGTTTGCCTTGTAATTTCTAGATTTACTACCATTTCAAATGTATTCGTAAGTGATGTATGCGCCTATCAGATAGATCCATGATAATTTGATTTGCTGCGCACTGAGCTCAAGCTGGCCGTTCTGTACAAGTCAAAACATTTGAGTATCCTTGACGTGTTTCGTTACAATAACGATCTGTCCTTTCAGGTATAGGTACAATAGTCTTAGGCCTCAATACTGCACCGGAATACCATGATACCTTGTGCTCGATGAGCTAGTGCAAATCGACGATGTAGCTTAGTTCAAAATCTTGGTACGCCAGCACTTCAATTTGAATCTAGTTCTTTCTATCCGAGATTGTAGTACTGTGTCATAATCTGTCAATCCAAACTTACAGCGGAAAAGAGATTTCAAATATCATCAAAACTGCATATTCGATCCCTTCTGGTGCTTAGCTCTGCCTCGTTATTCGATGGTTAAGTTTGAATATCGCTAAAATTTCATGTCACATCCTATATTATGCATAGAAGGACCGCATTCGGATACTCACCACCACTGTCTGATTATAGTGCATGTATCTGGAAATAAATCAATTCATTAAGAGCAGAAATCATTCCGTAATCTTCACGCGTGATATCACTTGGCAAACACGGGAATATGCGACAGTAATAACTATTGCGTTCCATACCGGTGAAAAGGTACAGGAATTTCATCCAGTCCTTACACTCCAACAATTCATTTTAAGATCTGAGTAAACTGATCCATTAATGTGATCGATCGGTGAGCTGACGCCGTATGATTTAGCGGTGTAATATGCTTTTCGCATTGTTAGCTTGAGCGCAAATGAGACATAAATTTCTTTGATGATCGATAAGGCTAATTCCAGACCCTTTTCGCGCTCTATACGCTCAAGCGTGTCATCAGGAGTTAACAAAGGCTTGTTTGGAGTTGCATTATGGAATTCTCAGACACACCTTCATCTATTTCCTGCTCCGCATATTCGTCGATTGCTGCATCAAAGGGGGCGGCCATGTTATGTCTGCTATTACGGTCTGAATCTTTTATGATAAAGCGCTGCTAGGAGTCGAAACATCATATACATCTTTGTCGGTACTGAACCATATAATCGCTTGCATATCATCCTTGTTTATAAGTGCGTTGTCTTAAACTAAATTATGATATATGATACGATATTATGTACCAGCAACGATTAATGGAAGTCTTAATAAGTTGAATGGTACTTGGCTTTCTATGTGATATCGCGCGAAGTTCCACGAATTTGACCATTATAGGCAAAAAAGATATCTATTGGTGATCAAACACACGACATCTTTCTATCGTGCATCATTAAGCAGTTAAGTATAGCTCATAAGGTGACTGCTAAACTCCACTAGATTCATATATTGTCTGGGACATTTCCATATTGCATACAAACGCGTCGTTGACGACAATAGTGGTCCAGGTTTTATTTCAAATGGCCCTTGGCACGATTGACTACCTCTTTGACTTTTTGATTATGTAAGGCACGCGGTACAAGTGTGACCAAGTAGACAATACAAAACACGTTTGCTTGTAAGCACATGGCGTGATTGCAAAAACTTTTGACACAACGCCCCAGCCAAGCGAAACGGCGCTTCTAGTGACCAAATAATATTTAAGCGCAATATGTGCGAGCTCTTAAGCTTGTCCAAGGAACCCAACCCGATTTTCGTCATACTTAGCGATACTACATAATATATAATCATATTGTTGTTCATCCCATGCGCGTCGGCTTCACCCAATGCATCGCCCACCGGCACATAGGTAGTTATATGATTCATATCTTCAAAAAAAAACTTGTTCACAGCATACCAGGACTTGCTGCTCCTCACCTCATACCTTATATAAAACGAATCTAAGACCATAGATGGTTTATGCACGCTACTGGCTTCATTTCTAAAGAATCAGATTTTATTCAGGAAAATTTGTCGCGAAGTCCTAGGGACCTACCGCTCCAAGAATATTGTGAAGAACGGCTCCCGGCGAGCCACACTTGGCCGCCTAAAATTCCCCACTTGGATATATTTTTTCGACTTTTTCAATTTTTTATGGTAATAAAAGGTACACACCCACCCTTTAATACGTACACCCCCTAAAATAGAGACCCCTCTTTAAGGACCGTAACCTCCCCAACTAGGTACTGCAGTACAGATCAAGGCATTGCTGTAGGATGGCCACGGCGGTTCTTACCGGGAGGTTACGGGTTCGAGTACCAGCAGATGGACTGCTCCATCCAGGCTAGGATCGAATGCAAAGCAACGCCACCGACCAGGCTCTAAAACGGGTCGTAGCCGGTAGACAATGTGAAGCAAGCGTGCAAAAGGTACACCAAGGGGTCGCAAATTCTGTAAGTTACTGATCGAAGGTATCTGGTAGTTAAGAATCGTAATTAAAACTTCCTGGGAAGTAAAAAAACTACCCTAACTAGGTACTGCACAGTTAAACATACAAAATGACATATAAATACTCGTTGCTGCGTACACAAACCTCCTTTATAAGGGCCTCTTATGTCTCATCACACAACCTCGCGTATGACTCCCGCGCTCATTATCCGGTACACCCCCTATAAGTCCCCTAATACTACCATTTTTCCTATTCGTAAGGTACTTCTAATTTTTGGATCAAGGATTGAGCATACCTCTTACTGGTACTGCAAAGTTAACTGTCAATGGGGGACATATACACACCCAGTCCAACTTTCTAACGTAATCATTTGCCATAATTCATAGCGTAAAGGCAACATAAACAAAGGTATCGCTTTCTATATTAAACAGCACTGCGATATCGATAATGACTGAGGAGACTTTTTCTCATGCATTGAAGCTGGCGTTTTACACGACCAAAAAATGGAGGCTTGGTAAGTAATACGATCTTCAGACTGATGCGAATCAGTAGACGGTACGCGCATCACAGTGCACAGGTTTTTAGTCATTGGATCGGATGGGGTGTACGTATCAAAGGGTGGATGTGTACCTTTTATCTCCTTACTATTGTGATTATTATTAGTATCATTTAGGACACGGCACTGATTGTCGACTTCCGACGCTGCTGTGACCGACTGTCGATCGCTCAGCGATGCCATTGCTCGGCCACATACAAAAGTGCTGTCATTGTGGATCATGTGCTGATAACGGCACGTACTCGAGCTGCTTGCAGTTTTCAAACCGGGAGTCCCCGGGCGAAACGAACTTTGCCCGAGGATCGATGCCCGAGAATTCCTCCCACTGCTCGAGCGTTCGCTTCGTGCCGAGACCAAACTTCTCCAGGTCGATGCAACCAAAGTCTTCTTTCGTGACAGGCAAGTGCAGGATCGCGCGAACGCGACGCTTTAGCTTTTTCTGCACTGCACTGCGTACCGCTTGCTACAATAGTGCTCCCACACCACCTTTCGGGTCTCTTACCAGTGGACCGCAACGCCTTCCGAGGGCGCGTAGAAGTCATGGATAGCATTCCAGAGCCGTGTCGCACATGAATATGCTTTGCTGTGACCAAGATAAGGTGTGTACGGGTCATTCCACACCTCCTTCACCTATTTTCAATCGCCAAAGTTGAAACTACCGGCCAGATGCGACAGCAATTGCGGCGTTGGCGTATCCTTCTTGTCAATACAAGCAGGAGCCGCGTACTGCACCATGGCGTATCTGTAGCTCGTCTCGATCTGCGACTTGTACATGAGCTGTACCAGGTCATCCACACCGTGATCCGTCAAATGTTCAGTGTACTTTGGGTAGATCGAAATGATGTCGTTCGGATCCTCGATCGATTCCAAGTGCGCGATGATCATCTCGTCCCAATCGAGCACAAAAATCATGTGCGAGTCAATTTTCAGGCAGAAATGCTCGTTCATCATGGACTTTTCCGTCTCTTACCGCGCAGCAGTGGTCCCCTACACCGCATCCGACTAAACACAAACCCATCGGCAGTAGCAAGTGGATTAACAGCCGGCCCCAAAGAAAAACTACCAGACGCCTCGTCAATGACCATCCGTCTCATTAACAGCGTCGATCTGAGACAACACAAGTTGTGCGCGGTTACAGTCGTCTTCCCCCATGAGCTCAAAAAACACGTCGGCGCACGAGCACTCGTTCCTTGCAGGATAGATCTGATCATAAATGCTCATCTGACGATTGTCTGGCGCTGCTGCATTGTCAAAGATCAACCGCAGCAACTCCGAGCACCTGAGCAGGTCAAAGACACATTTCAAGTTATTGTTTTGAATGTCTTTCAATCAAGTCTTTTTGCTGTATCATAAGCATGCCTATTTCTGCACGGATCTACTTGTTTGTTGCACTTATCAATGATGAGGATGAAACGTATGTCCTTGAGCTAAATTATCATGCATGTAAACATGCATTTACTATAGAAGAGTTGAACAATCGTTTATTGAGTGTTTACATGGACTAGATACGTTTGAGGTATTAAGACAAGGTATGAGCACGTAGCTGATCTCGGTAAACCTCATTTGAATCCTTATTGCAATAGCCTCGACACGCGTGATCCGGACCCCGCCAAATGTTGTTGTTGCATTACACTGAGTGCGTTCCGCGGTGCCTTCGTCTACCAAAACTCGAGCTATCAGTATCCATACGCGCTCGAGGCTGGACAATTCATTTAATGGATAAGTGAATCAGTAATAAGAATTCACATGCGCCGAGAACCTTTAGATATTAGTGGACAGCTGCGGTTAAAGCAGTGGCTTCGTTAAATTGGCAACTCCTCGTTGTACACATTTTCGCCAGTCTAGTGCATATCATCCACCCCAGGGCGCTTGTTCCCATAAATATTCAAAGAACAGATACACTACTGCACCTTTGCAACCTAGCATTCTTCACGGCGTTTGGTAACGGGGCACACGCTTGCGTGAACTTAAAGCAAGGGTTAGGGTGCCCCGACAGACGTACACGAGGCAAACGAGGAAGCGTAGATAAGGGAAAAGTAAAACTGTTGTACTAATATAATTAAGTCTTTTATCCACTGTCTCTCTGTTTAACCTGACTTAATTATGCTAATATACCTGAGTGTATGGTGACGTCTCGTCACCACTCATTGCGCGCGTCCTGCGGCGATTGGTGGGTTGATATCATCAAGATATCAACCAATGAGCAGATCCTTTGGTCGCTTCACCAATATCACCACTTTGGTGATATTATTCAAAGAATATTCACTTAATATTCTTTATTGTCACTTTCTTTTAAAGTGACAATTCCATGTAACGGGCTGCCCCGTTACATCACCCCGCCTTAACTGATAGTCACCGTGTGACTATCGAAAATATGGCGGCCACCCGTTGGTTGCCATTGGGACAGGGAGCACTTGTTGGGTCAGTTCCGTTCATAACTCAACCTGACCTCGCATAGTTAACATGTCTATGCGGGGTGACTCAAGGCACACAGAGTCTGTGCCTGTGACAGCTTCTGCGGCAGACGATTCGTCGTCTGCTGCTCGTTCTTCGCCTGAAGCAACAGGTGCTGCAGGTGCACGCGGTACAGCACCGCGTGCGCATGATGACCCCGACATTGAGGTCATCTATTCTGGTGAGTCAGACGTATCTGACTCGGGCAATGCTGCAGAGGCGTCTTGATCTCCGGCGACGCCTCAGTATTCGCCAAGACCACTGCCGAACGAGCGGACTCGTGAGTTGCAACACAGTATGTTCGGCAGTGATGAAAAATCTGATGATGAGTATGTTTGCTCATCACCGAGATCAGCTCGTGCTCCTTCGCACGAGCGACTTGACGATGGTGCAAGCCATCGTCATACTGACAACCGTGGTACCGATAAGGGTACCACTGTGAAGCGTGATGGGCTGAAGCCGTGGCGTTTGCCTGAACGGCTCATCAATGGCTTGTCTCACGAGACAAGCCAACACCATCGAATATTCTTATTCGATTCGACTGAGCTTCACGGCTTGACTCCCAGCGCGAGCAACTTTCGCGCTGAAGAAGATTTTTATCTCGATGTCTTTCTTAGACATCGATGGTACAACAGCAACCAAAAGCGTGACAAGGCCTCGCTTTTGGCTGCGTGGAACGCGTTCGTCCAAAACGTAAAGAATTTTGGACGAGAAGGGTGGCTCAAGAAGCTTGAGGCGACACGCCTCAGGTTCGAAAAGCGAACGCCAACCGGTGCCAGGTACAGGTTGCACTGTTTCTCAAGTGAGGTCGGCATTCCATGCCTCACTTGGGGAGGCCCTTGTGCGAGTTGTGTTGACAACTCGCAACGTGCGCAGAGGGATGTTTATTCCCTAAGTTCGCCCTGGGGAAGGGCACACATCTCGGCTGAGATGCGTGACGCGACTTCAAACTTGCAATCCGTCTACAGGCGCCGAAAGCGCGTGTTTACCGATGGTCCCTCGGACCAATCGGATGAGTCTCGTCATAATGGTGGACGAGACCTTCAACGTCCACCAACAGCTGAGAGCGGGGCTCCCAGCTGTTCCAAGAGGGTGGATAACCCCGCCACTGGACGAGGTAGCTCGTCCTTGATCCTGAATCATCACGGTGATTCAAGATACGCTCCAGTAGAAAGCGTTGACCACCGTGAGAATCCACCAAAGGATGTGGTGGAGGAGTAAAGACCTCCTCCAGATGATTCTGCTCACCATCTCGACCCTTACGAGACGGATCGCGCAATCGATGAATTGCGCGATGACCTGAAGCACGAGCGCGACCGGCGCTACGCTTTGACCGATACCGTGCGGAAGAACCGCAAGGATCGCGAGGCTGATCGGGCGAGAGACCGCGCCGATTACACCACAGCGCAGCTTCAGGTCGAGCGGGATGTCCGCTCCTTTCCGGCGAGCTGGCGACAGCTCGCGGGGAGATATCTCGGTTGAGCTCCGAGGTATCTTATCTGCGCGACCAGACGTATCTTCTGGAGCGCGAACGCAAGAACTTGATGGATGTTCTTGAACGTGGGAGCTATCTTCATCGAAAGAAGAAGGCTCGTACCGTCAGTACGGTCTGAGTCGCCCCACGTAAAACGTAAGATGCGCACGCATCCTACGTGGCAATTCGATAGTGTATGCATTGCCCTTGCGATGCAACACTCGAAATGGCCCAACGTATTTCGGCAGTAGTTTACTACTGCCGACACTAGTGACTGCATGTCCAGGTAAGTTTACCGTAGACAGTAGTACTAGGTCATTAAAATTAAATGAAAGAACATTTGCTCTTCCATTCTTGTCTGCGTTCCGTTTCTGGCGGTCCACCGCATTTGCGATGGAGTCCTGAACGAAACGGACTACCGCATCTCGAGTCAGCAGAAAGTTCTCTGCTGACTCGTTGTTTTGTCTTTCAGTGCGCTTCGTGCGCACTGCTAAGAGGTTCTTCTCTTCTTCAGCGAGGTTGTCATTTTCCTCGCTGGAATAATCGTTGACGATGCTGAATATACCAGCATCGTCATCATCATTCGAGTCAATAATAGCGTTGTCGCTATTATTGAGGTGATCTTCTTCATCGATGTCAACATTGTCGACATCGGCATCATACGTGACAACGTTAGCGTCGACACGTGATGAGTAAGAGCCAGAACGGTTTTTGCTCGAGCGAGTCCCTCCTCCTTATCCAAGAGTCACACTCTAGAAGGGCGGGCACAAGTGGATGGCGTAAGACATTCACGTAAAACGGTGTGTGCTGGGTGGAAGCATAGACCGAATTATTGATGGCGAATTTCACCATGGGTAGGAATTCGCTCCAACTCGGAAACGAGTGGACATATCATCGAAGGATCTCTTCGAGGACACGATTTGCACGTTCCGTCTGACCATCTGTTTCCGGATGGTCAGAAGTGGACATCGTCCACCGTGTTCCGAGAGAACGGAACACGGATTGCCGAAAATTCCGCCGTGAACCGAGGGTCACGGTCGGATACGAGTTCACGGGGCAACCCGTGGAGTCGGAAGATCGTGTCGAGAAAGACACGAGCACAACCGGGTGCCGTGATGGACTCGGGCACTGCAGAAAGATTCACCATCTAGCTGAACCGGTCAACAAACACAAGAGTACCATTATTCTTGTGAGCGTCTTCGGGAAACCCAAAGACGAAGTCCTTTGAAACGGACTGCCAGCACTCTGCCGGGACCGGTAGAGGCCGTAAGGGTGCACGGGATGAAGGACTAGGCTTCACCCGCTAACAACCCTCGCAATCTATAATATACTTGCGGTACAACGGATACTGGCGTGGCCAGTAAACGTTGCGACTTACCTTGCGGTAAGTCGTTTCCCTTCCACGATACCCGCCTGTTGAGGCATCGTGACACTCATACAAGATGCGCAAGTACAAATTATTATGAGTAAGGACGGCGACATGAGACGTGTCGTCGGCAACGGCCGTATAGTACAGCAACATGTTGCGAGTTGTGTACCGACCGAAGAGGGTTGGTAAAAAGCCGGTAAATCTTTCAAAGCTTTACGAGATGGATTTGCCAGACGATCCATCAAGCGCATAGGATTCTTGTCCTCTGCGTATGCCTTTCTCAAGTCATCAAGTAATGTTGACGACGGGAAACTGACCGTAAGTGCAGCAACATTGAGCTTGTTCCCACTGTTGGATTGCGCGCCTGAATCGAAATCGGGTCGTCGCAATAGGGCGTCAAAGACGACATTCAGTAGTCCTGGTTTATACTCGACGGAAAAGTTGTACTCCGCAAAGAATGACATCCACCCCGATATTCGTTGAGAGAGGTGTGGGCTGTTTACGGCGGTGCGTAGTGACGCATGGTACGTATAGACAACAAACGGTCTATCTCCGAGGAGATAGACGCGAAACTTAGCCAGTGCGTACTGCATGGCAAGGATTTCCTTGCCATGA